AGTTTTTATATCCCAGACAATCTCACGGCTTTGGCTACAAAAATCACGGCCGTTAAACTAAGCCGTGAAACTAAAAACACCTTGTATGTAAAAATGGACTTCTCACGGCTCATCTTTAAATATCACGGGCGTGAGATTAACCCGTGATATGGGCACAACTGAAACTCAAAAACACGCCTCACATCTGAAAATCTCACGGCCGGGAGATGAACCGTTAGATTTTTTTAAAAAAAGGGGGAATTCCAGGGGGTTTCACGGGTTGGGTTCGACAGTATCACGGCCGTGAGATGAGCCGTGTTTGTGTAATTGAAATGCTGGACTTCTCACGGCTCATCTGTTAATCTCACGGGCGTGAGATCAACCCGTGAGATGGTCACAGCTGAAACCCAAAAAACACGCCTCACAACTTAAAACTCACGGCCGGGAGATGTGCCGTTAGAATGTTTTTTCAAAAAATGTAAGTTCCAGGAGGTTTCACGGGTTATATCACGCCCGGGACAAAAACCGTGAGATGGAACCCTCAAATTGGAAACACCCTATTTACTTCCTCTTTTCTACTTGAACCCATTTCTGTTGGTTAATCGCATGCTTGGAGCCACTAACCATAGCAAAGAGACTTAAATCAATCAAACAAATCATGGTCTTCAAACTTAACTACATTCATCAATTGGCTAAACAGAGAAAAATTCCCAACTTTCTCAGTGAACACGGCCTTTCTATCTACCATATCATATCATATCAATCCTCCCACGAAGAAGATGGAAGAACTACAACAACAACATCCATCCAAAGCTTCCTCACCAAAGGAAGCATCATCAACAACCACAACCGCAACCACAACAACAACAACCACAACTGCTGTGAATTCTTCAGACTCGAATTCTTCTACCCTAACAACAGAAGAACCCAATGCTCCTCCTCAACAGAAGAAGATTGAGGAACAACAACAACAACAAGAGCCTGCTAAGGATGTTGCTGAAACGGAGACAAATCAAGCACAACCTCAACAGCAAAAACAAGGTGAAGAGAAGGTAAATGCTGCAAATTCTCCTTCAAAACAAGTGAAGGAACAACAGGAACCGCCATTGCAGCTAATTATCAAGCTAAACACAAAGAAGATAGTACTAACCGAAAAAAGTTGCGGTGGAGGAGGGGTTTTGTGCAGAGTCTTCGTTAGCTATCGATGGGAAGAGGGGTTTTGTGCAGAGTCTTCGTTAGCTATCGATGGGAATTCACTAGTCAATTGTTCTGGTTCGTGGCATTTCCTATCCAGCACTAAGTTAGTAGGAGGGGGAAAATTGGAAGCACAGAGATTCAATTGAACTGCTGTCAAAAACTAGAACGAAGTAAACGATACATGGAATAGAATTCAAGAGTAAAAAGTTGCTTACAGATAACCTGGGTTCGCACTGCAGAGCATACCCTGAGACAGCGACCGCGAGCTGGTGGAATCGATGCCGACACGGCGGGGAGTGAAGCGGGAGAAGCGATTGAATAGCACCCAGCTGAGCAATTGGCCTTGAGAATGTGGAAGAAAGGCGAGCTGGGAAAAGAGAAGCGGCCGAGGTGGGCGTGGGTTTGACGCCGGCGGTCTTCGTTTGCAATCGACGAAGAGATGCTCGCTCTCGTCGTCCCTTGCTCGCCGCCTTCACTGTCGTCGTCGGAATCCGGAATCCGAATCGCCGCCTTCACTGCCGCCTTCTATTCGTCGTCACCCACTGCTCGCCGTCTTCACTCGTCGTCACCCACTGCGTGGAGAGGATCGCCGTCTTCACTGCTCGCTAGCTGCGTGGAGAGGATCGAAGGAAGGAAGAGGATCGAAGAAAGAGGGGTTTCGGCGGTGAGAACTGAGAAGAAGAGTGTAATTGGTTTCACAAAACCGATTGTACCGGTCATCAACACACAAATAAAATAATAAATTAATAATTTAAATGAAATCTAATGGTTAATATAGTTTGGACATGATCTAATGGCTGTAAATGTTTTATAGTACCAATACTATAAAGCACACTAAAATGCCTCGTTAAAACCATACTAAAAACCCTATGGGATAAACCAAGTCAAGCAAAAGAGTACAAACCTTACTAGAAAGTAGCTTATAAATAAATCAAGTCTCGATGAACTCATTATGGCCGACGGAAAAAACAATAAAGTACAAACTTAATAATGATACGGTAAATAATTTACTTGTATTACCTTGTTAACAGAAATTCCAGCAACACTTTTCCCATTTTGCTTCTTTGGGTTACCTCGAGGTCTAACTCATCTTCCGGAGTAAAAATGACGACTGAAGCAAGAATGGATAGAGGGCTTACACCATGGTAAGCCTTTGTTTCTTTGGTGGAGTTACAAATTTCTCGGCCTCCTGCAAGCATAATGATCCTATGATGATTAAGAATTAACTCGAATGAAATGGGAAATGACTTTAAATGGTTAAAGCTCTACTTAATCCACCAGAAGCTTAGACGAAAAACGAGTCGTTCTCTTATTTTTCATGTTGTTGCTCTAAGAGTCTCGTTTATACACAAAATGGATGCAAGGAAGGATATTGAACCACTGCTTTTCCGCTAAATGAACTACTATATATACTAGGTTATTAGAAAGGGTGGGAGCATATTTACCTGCGGAAAAATAGTTAGGCTTTAGTAAAATGTACATTAATTTGGGATAAACATGGGAACTGAACAAAATTTAAAAAATAACAAATCATTGTTATTATTAAAAGGCAAAATACACTTCCATAGCCATAATTTTTCACTTTGTGACAAATATAGCCAAATTTTGAAAAATACACAGATATAGCCATTTTGTCTATACAATTAACGATTCTGTTAAAATTGCTGACTGGACAACGGTGATTTATGACATGGCCATTTTTCATCTACGTGGAATACGCTAACGTTTTCATTAATTCTAAAAAAAAATACTTTATTTACCAGAACTCTCAAATTATCCTTTCGGTCCCCAATCCCCATCCCCAAACCCTATCCCCACCTTGCTGATCCAGTACCCTCCGCCGCCTCTCTCGATCTCATCTCCCCACCGCCGCTATACCTTCCCTCATCCATCCCCTCCCTTCCCCACCGCAACTGCATCCTTCAGGTCAAAACCAAAGCATCATGGATCCATATATCCCTCCTCCCACGCGAGCACGCCGCTGCTCCATTGGTAGCCCACGCCTCAAAACCAATCTATCCTACGAAATCAATCGTTGTCGTCGTCCCTCTTGGAGACCCCTTTCCACCACCAGATCAAGATTTCATTGCCTCCAATGATGCAATGATGTCGTCGGGAACTAGCTCCCCCATCCCCTCCCCGCTCGTGAAGATGAAAGCCCAATCAGAAGAATCCCATGTTACTGTTCGGGCTGCGAATAAACCCGACGCTATTGCCGGGGGAAAAATCGTCGGATTCTCGACTCCGACTCAAGACCTCGACTCCGGCTTCTCTTCTCGATTCAGACAACCCATCGAAGCTCCAGTAATCGACCGGTGAGACAAAAAAATCCGAAGTGCGGATCCAGACGATGAACAGAGAGTGCGGAGGATGATGGCCAGAGTTCAATTCCAATCCCTAGAATTTTTTTATCTTTCAGATTTGGGGAAGATAGAAAGAGCCGGCGGCATTAGTTGGGCTAGAGATAGACGGGAAACTTCAATTTTGCAGTAGAGGTACTGAAAGGAAGAAGTTGATTTGGGGAAAGTCGAAGAGATTGTCGTGGCTTGTATAGCAGTGGCCGGAGGAGACAAACCCTCATCGGCATCGGCTGTAATTGGATTTTTGTGTTTGATTATTAATAAAAGTTACTTATAAATTTATATGAATTTTTTAATTAAAATATGATGTGGTGTTTATGTGGATATGACGTGTCTAGTTGGAGATGAAGTGTCGTCCAAGTGGCATCCACGTCAGCGTAATATTTATAAAACGGATGAAATTATTAATGGCGTTAGATTTTTTAACGGAAATTGCTATATTTGTCAAACTAGTTTTCAAAATATGGCTATATCTGTGTATTTTTCGAAATTTGGCTATATTTATCACAAAGTGGAAAGTTATGGCTATGCAAGTGTATTTTGCCTTATTAAAAGTTCGCTCATTAATATTCATTAGTTCCCCTTATGCGCAGTACATCGATGGAGTCCTTGGCTTTTCAAATCATACTATTTCATTATAAATATTTTCTCCAAATTCTGAATTTGGTAAGAAAGCACTAAAGTAGAGAAGGGGATCACAAACATGGTAAAGTTCGATTAACGTGGATAAGTGTTACGTGGAGTTATTTTTTTTTTTTTTTTTACAACTCGTTAATTGGAGATTTTAACCATGATTTTGATAGGGTTTTTCATGGGCTCGAAAGTGTGGCTGTCAAACAACATTGCCCATTTAAGTATTAATCAAGGAATGGAACAAGCCTGTTAGAATTACTTGAAAAAGATTTGGATATAATTCCGAGAGAGGTTATTTATACCACACATTATCGATTAATCATCGGGAAGGAGCAGATCAACCTTCAAATTGATAAGACTGACATATAAACATGTTCGCCACCAGCTAAAGGGCTTTAATCCTTACTCCTTATCCCCATCTTTGCTCAGGCTAAGGAGGCCTTACTTATTGTGAAGTATCAAAGATATGAAAACGAGATGCAAAAAGTAGAAAGTAGTCATTCCATGTCTCTTTAGTAATCTCTTCATTGGTCTTTCTAAATATCTTTTTATGAAATTAAGAGAACCCTCTTTATTTTTTTTATCTTCTAAATAAAGGAGTGGGCTTAGTAGGGCCAATAGGGTTAGGTGTCAACAGAGTTCGTTCCCCCAAGCTCAATCATCGTGACAATGAAGTTGGAGCCAGTCGATTCGGAGCCAATCACACCATCGAGGAAGATAATGATGTCGAGCTCATAGTTCTACAGCCAAAAGATATTAAAAATTGGAAGTTCAGTAATACAGACGAAGGCTGTGATTTCTACACTGAATATGGGTTGGTCAGTGGCTTCGACGTCAGAAAAGCATATATTGGTCGTGCTAGCTAAGAACAACATGATGATAAATAGTGAATGCATATTGATCCAGTTCTGAATGCAAATGCAGAAAAGATATAAAATTTATTATGTACAATTCCTCAAATGGCAGTAAACGGAAAATCTAAACAATCAACTATCAATTGGTGCAAGAGTCTGCTTCAGGAATACATATCCAAGTGAGAATAAAGCGACTGCAAACCGCTTAAAATGGAGGCCGCATCCTAAACAGCTAGCTTGACATTCAACTTGGCCGCACAGGCGGTCTGGTCTGGCACCCACAACAGTGAGGAACCACAAAGATAAATAGATATATGCTACCTCGATCGATCACTGGGCTTTCTCATGGAATTTATTTACCACCATCTCACCCCAAAGGTCATGTGAAACCTCAGCTTGGTAGGTTTTGACCTCCGACGATGAATTCTTCCTGGCCCGAAATGTAATGAAATAGACGTAACCAACTTGTACTGCGTAATTTGCAGTCAAGGTATCGACGTATGTCAGCTGCAAAATAGAAGAATAGAGCGTTGTTATAGCATGCAGAAAATTAGAATGGAAGCTCATGAAAAGGAGAGCAATGAGCCATGACAGACAGGTTCGTCGTAATGTTGCTGAATTGCAGTGCCGATGCACTTGGTAACAAATTCCTTATGACGGGCGTGCTCAGGTTTATCAAAGTGTACCCTGCATACTCTGACACCAGTGACAGGGTACACATTTAGAGGGTCTTCGTCCAAATCAAAACCCTGTCAATAGAGTAACACAGCATACATGAAGACGATCAAAGCAACAAAAAGAAAAAAACTTCACATAATATTGGGTGGAAATTAAATAGATCTATGATGAACAAGAACCCTAACTAACCTCGCTATCAATAACTTTATTAAGGTAGCGTTGGAAGCGTTCATCATCTTCCGAACACTTCTCCCGCATCGTCGCCTTCGGAGTATACTGTTTGACCTCCATGAAATCATCTTCATCATCGCCATCCTCAATCTCGTCAGCATCATCATCTTCGGTTTCCACCAGCACATCGCCGTCGCCACCCTTGGCTTTCTTGTCGTCTTCTATGACCTTCTGCCTCTTTGCTCCAGATCCGAAATCAGGTGTTTCATACGCAGAGGTGCTCAAACGAGGAATAGCCTCAGTGCTTACCATCTGGTCGCCGTCAGAATCAAAACTCGACTGGATAAGAGTTGAGTTCATCTTTGACAGCAAAGAGGATTTCAACTAGGATGGAGAGAAAAGAAAAGAAGAAGAACAGTGGATTGGATTTTGTTACTTTCGAATCGAGAGAAACCCTAGATTGAGGGCTAAAGGCAGATAATTGGGGATCTGAAAATTGTAATATATTCCTTTCCATCATCGAGTTTGCGATATTATATAGGTAGGGTAAAGTTCCAAAAGGTCTCTACAGTTCAAATTAAGCTTAATTTGGCCATCAACTAACGTTTTCTTCCCAATTTGAGCCCTCAAAGTTTACTTTAGCTAATTGGCTCCCACAGAGTTAGTGCTGCTAACGAGCCGAGCTCGTGAAGCTCATTGGACACTTTTCGTAATTTGCTGTTTGGCTAATTGTTTTAATATTTTTTAATTTAAATGGATTAGTCTCTTTCATTTGATGGACTCGATTTGGAGGCTCTGTTTAATTTAAATGGATTAGTCTCTTTCATTTGATGGGCTCGCTTTGGAGGCTCTGATACCAAAAACAATCATTTCATCATTTCATTTTCTTCGTTTTCTTTTCTTTTCATGAAAGGGTCCAAACAAAGATGGTCCAAAAACATCCCTTCAATTTTTACAAAAAATCTTTCGTTATCTCATTTTCTTCTATGAGTATGAGTATGAGTTCTAAAATCATTTTGTTGTACTTGGTTTTATCTATTTTCTAGTTTCTGTTTTATTTTGTTTAGACTAGTTATTATATCGGTGATTAATTCAGTTTTAGATACGACTTCAATGTTTCTGAATTTCCGATACACATTTGTTCTTCTTTTCAATTCATACTTTATAATAATGGAAGAGTCGAGATTCCCATCTGTTAAACTAATTCCTTGTTGTAAATTAATATCGAATTTGATTATTCCTACTCCTAGGTTTCCCTTTCCTTTTGCAATAATACTCTCTTCTCTATTGATGAGTCGATCATCTCTTATTTCTAGTTCTATAGGTGCACTTATCCCTGTTTTCATAGTAGATTTTAGAATGATTTATATCGTGCTAATGTGAATATAAGCTATTTTACTTCTTTCTTCCTGTTGTAACTTGGTAATTTTTTCCTAATTTGTTCCCTATTTATTATTTGAATTAGGAAATCTCCCTAACTAAGGACGATCTCATTGTCCAATCCCATCATTCTAATGTCAATCCATAAAAGTAACCCATATTCGCCTTTGTTAACACATGTTTCACATTGTCATTACTGTGACCGGCCGGTAACTTCGCTGCAACTGATTCGGTATTGCTCATCATATGGCCTCCAAACTGATAAACATATCGGGCCAACAGTTTTATGACAAAACTCAAAGTGAAGACAACTCATCGTCTGGTGGAATGTCTGCGCTTCCTGGTGTCCATTAATCTAATTGCAAGCATAATGACTGCTAAAATTAAGCTTTCATGCAACACACTGGGAGTCGGGGGTTCGAACTTGGAGTAAAAGTTGATATTGGGTTTGTGAAGGGAAGTGGTGAGAGGAAGAAATTGTGTTTGGATTCGGTAGCAGGTAAAGTTCATGGTTCGGTTTCTTTTCGTAAAATGCTTTGTTCGAGGTATAATATCATGGTTATGTGGGATCAAATGAACCAAAAATGAGCTTGGGGGATGGGAATTCCAACTTAGAAGGAGTGGATTAGATTTTGATAAACTCAATTTCATGATTAATTGAAAGAATATTTAGATTTAGACTTTGTGGTATTGAGATGTTCACAAAGAGTTTAAAACTTATCCAAGGCCATGGATTGATATTGGTTAGTTGATTGTGATTTTGAGGAAGGTGTATAAAAAGTCATGGAAGTAGTTTGCAGCAAGTGAAGCAGTGAAGAGGCAGTTGGTCAGGGTAGTGATTGAACCAAGGAAGGTATTGAAAGACATAGAAGCAAAATTGGAGAAGTTGAAGAGAGAGAAGTGGTAGATGATCAGGATATTAATGAAAATGGAGAGGGTATTGAAGGGCATGGAAGTGAAATGGATCAGATAAAGGTAGAGAAGGAGGAGAAGAGCATATTGATGGAATTAAAGATGAGTGTTGGTTTTACGAGCTTATTAAAACTGCCCCGAGGAAGATGAGTTGGCCAAATACAAGAAAGAGGATTGAGGAGTTGGAGATCAAGTTGATAAGAAACTCAATTGAAAGAGAAATTCAGGTTCATGGAGAGAAGGTCCATCAAAGTAGCATAAATGGAGTTGCAGAAGGAGGATTAGAAATTGAATTTTGGTTTAAAACATGTACGCCGAGAGATTGAAGATGGAGGGGATAAAAAGTTGGTTGTACAACGGAGAGTGGAAACTATTTGATCTTTAGGTGTTATGGTTGTTGCAACTACCACAACCTATGTTTATGTTAAAACGAGGAATCATTGATTGATTTACTAAAGTTAAGGTTGAATCACTATTCAAACTAATGGAACCTGTAGATAAGGAGTGTCTAATTTTGTGCCTCATTACTTTGATCGAGTCTAATAGTATATTGGATGTAACTCTAATTTTGTCATTTGCTCTCAAGTTTTGATGGCCTCCTTTTAGTTGAGTTGTTAGCACATGCTTTACTTGAATCAACAACACTTCATTTCTTTTTTTTTTTTATATAAATCCATTTCTTTTTTATTAGTGGCATGTTATTCATAGATGAGAACTTTGAACCAATTATGTGTGATTGTGAGGTTTCATTTTTTCAAACTACCTATGGATCGTGTGAGAATCCAATGAGCTTTTATATTATAATATTTCTGGACAATATATTGAGCAATATCATTTTAATGGGAGCTCAATTATCATTATGAAAATGGGATGAATGATATATTTTTATATTCTTAAATGAGAAGGGTATTTCCCTGAATATTAGACCTATATATTCATTTTTTTATATAAAATCTCGATTGAATAATTTTCAATAAACTTAAACAAATTAATAGACTTAAACATAACATAAAAAATACAAATATGAAAATATGAACATAAATATAAATATTAAAATATAAACATTCCGACCAACGGGCCGGTTATAAGCTAGTAGTTAAATAAAAGAATCAAATTATTTTCTTCGGCATCCAATACCTCCAATTTTTCTCACCGCAAAGTACATACATGGAAAAGAGAACACACCCAATAGAAGGGAGACTTATTTGTTAATCTTGTAGAGAAATAACTCGATCGATGTTGCTTCCCCTCTCAAGTTTCCCCGCCGCCGTGAACTGATTTAGACTACTAGCTGCTCTCATAATCTTGGCTACCCATCCCAGCAACTCCGAACCACCACCAAAGAAGTTGCATCCCGCTCATACTCTACATCCGCCGCCTCCCCTGAGGCAACCTCCACGCGCCGGCAGCAAATACAGAAACTAAACCTAACCTCCTCCGCCGCCGCTTCTTAATCCAAACCCCTAGAAGGCTAGAACCGCCGAATCTCGACTGATAAAAGGAAGATGATGCTTCAACTACTCTCTCGAACTTGTCGATTCAGATCTGCTATCAAAACTGACCGACATCATCCACCTCCTCTTCCCAATCCATCGAAACTCTCTCTGCCGGCTATTCCTACAAATCCGCTTCCTTCTTGGAATTTCGAAGAACCTCCTCAAATTTTGAATCTTTCGATGAGTCTAAACCCACATCGCCGCTTGATTCTTCGATGGTGGTTCTAGCCCCAAAACCTAACAACAATATTTGGAAAGATCTCAATTTGATTAGAGCCGAGCTGTGGCCACCACCGGTCAAATTGCGGAAATGTAGTGGTGGTCGCGAAGACAAGTTCGTAAAAATCAATGTGAAAAGGAAAAATAATTAAAAAAATAATTAAAATTTATTTAACTAATTCCATTTTTCTGCTGGAAATTAATAAAATTAAGATAGAAGGGCAATGTGTCCTTTAACGGTCAACTGATGGTCAACTGATGGAAATAGTGATAGAAGGGTATATTTGTTACATTGTAATATTAGAGGGACAATATTAGAGGGGTATGTTTGTGCAAAATAATACGAGTGTATATTTGTTAAACTGCAATAGTAGAAACAATGGCGGACCTAGTAAAGGGCAGGGTGTGTCGTCCGACACACCCTCGCCCGGAAATTTTGTGAAGTACCTTTATATTTTTGGTACATTTTTTTTTAATTCGAGACTTCCGACACACCTTAAATAATTGTGAGCGACACATCTTCATTATACGAGAATGATTTTTTTGATATAAAGTTATTTATCTTAATTAGTAATACACAATAATAAGTAAATTCAAATAAGTATGCTTGTTTTAGAGTAATCCACACCACAACCTAGGAATGGCAATATGACAGGTTTGCCTAAACCAACCTCATCCCCATTTCCAAATATTCAAACTCATACTCGTCTCATACCCATGCAGTGGAAGGTCTTACAAACTCATCCCCATACCTGCGGTTTTCGAATACCCATGGGTAATATCGCCCCAACTCACCATTAATAAAAGAATATGGTGACAAATATGGATACTACCCACCCAAAATTATGGAACTATTACATAAGAGGATGAACTAACACATAAGCAATGAATGTATTTACAGACATTTCTAGTAATATTTATTTAATTTCTATTAATTTTTTAATTAAGTTTTTAATAATTATTTTATTTTATCGACGACACACCTCTCCGACAATTCTGGATCCGCCACTGAGTAGAAAGGTATAAAATGCTATTAACCCTATTACATTTAGTGGTTTCGCTGAACTAAAATGGAGCTCAAATGGTAAGTGTAAACTAATAAGATGAGTTCAATGATGATTAGTGATTTTCACCAGTATGTCTAATGGTGCCTTTGCGTACTTGGTTCATACAATACACGTGTCATATGTGTTTCACAAGCTTTTAAAAAATGTAAATGGATTTAACATGAAACCATAATGATTCTTTATAAATAAATAAATAAAAATTTATAACATTGGACTACATCAAAAGAAATTATCTTTATGTCAATCCACTTTTACTACTTTGTTCCTCTCCTTTTTCTCTCTTGGGGGTGTAATAAAGCCTTCACCTTCATAGGAAGAGAAAAACAAACCTGTTAATAAAGCGGAATATCTTTCAAGTTGCCATCGAGATCAATTGCAACAATGCAGATCATTGAAAGCAAACAGGCCTTGTAATTTATGTTACCTCAGC